CTTTCCCCCAACACATAAGCAGCTGTAATTTGGTAGAAAAGAGGCCAGAGCAGGCTATGGATCAGCAGACTCAATGTAAAGCCAGAAAGGATTGATTGCCATGATCCAGCTTGAATTTATGTTAATGATGGCTCATAAACCTACCAGGGAGAAGAAGTGCAAAGGGATTTGCAAAGTCCTAACAAACTGCTGCCTAAGCCTCACTCTCACAGGTTTTTCAGTGCAAACTAAAGAGACTTTTGGATGAATCCTACTCCAGTTCTTCTTACTACTCAGTTAAGGGAGAGAAGAATATAAATGACAGAGAGAGATGAAGTGAGACACAGCAGGAAATGAGCTTTTGATGCTGGTGTAGTGTTGAGCTGAGGAATTCCCAAGAGCTGCATCTCAAAAGGCAGCTCTGAGTGTGAATATGCAGAACAGCCTGGCCTTCTGTGTGGGTCTTAGCACATTCTCATATTTAAATGGCAAAATTCTGCCATCTCACCAGGGATCCAAACCCCTCCTTTGGAGAAGCTATAGGAATATTAAAAACTCACAGAACTTAAAGGAATGCTATCTTCTTGTTAGTAAAACTGCAACAATATTACAACAGGCTTTAAGTACTTATCTCCTTTTCAGAAAATAAGATAACCTATAAAATTCCCAAAGACACTTAATAATGTAGCCCACATAGCCATCACTAATAGTATTTAAAAACTCCATCCAAATCATCGCATTCCATAGACCTAACTGTATAAGTTTAGTTTAAAATTAATTTACTTGCCACAAACACATAAAAGGATAAAAAAGGTAAACTTGATATGCTATTAATATTCTTCTGTGCTGCAGTTAAACTTCAAAACCTGCTAGTTTTACATAGCTTACCTTTTTAACTGGGAGTGTAAATATGAGGTTAAACGTGTAGCTTCTTCTAGTTGCATAAGCAAACAATTTCTCTTTTCCTGTAACAGTATCCTACAATTAAACAGATACATATTACTATCTTCTTCATCATAGTAGTGCTCAAGAAGTGCTAGGAGCTTTCCAAGTATAGAAAAATACTGTTTCATTGCAGTTTGGAATATTTAAAAAATGCTTCACTGTTTAATGAAAAGTTTTAATTTATGCAGCTCATATGCAGCGATGGCAATTCCAGCAAGAACACGAGAACCAAAACTCCAGCAGAATTCCCAGACAAGAAAAGTAACTCAGGCACAATGTAAGAGTCATGATGCTGAAAACAGATTACAGCAATTAGTCAAGTCATAAAAAGACATAAAACCATCAGACTCTACATGATTTATTTTTCTCCCTAGCATCAAACTGGTTGGGCCAGAGAGCTACTATGACTATCCACCTTGTCAGGAAAAAATATTCCAAACAGCTCTAATTAGCCAGGCTAATTAGTGTAAAATTTCAAAGATTGAAAGAAAACTTTTGGAGGACTTCTGTTAAGTATAACCATAAAAGTCAACTTTAAGCTCTTTGTTTTAGGTGTTTTAAGTGCATTTATATATCATCATACTCAAGCAGGTGATACAGTACTATATTATGACAAAAATCTCATGCTGTGACTTATTTTTTGCATTGTAATTGTAATAAAAAGCAGCTGAACTACTCTATACCACTGCCACCACACAAAGGGAATGTACCTTTAATGCTGTCAGTCTCATACACCTATATCTTAAATTCTGTATTTTTAGATTATTAGAACTTCAAAAAATAGATTTTATCTAGTGAGACCACACTTATTCTTCTTCTGAATCCATAATTGTAAGTATACCTGGTGTTTTGTTTTTCCAAGCACAATCACTGAACTTCAAGATAAAATCAGGGTAGTAATCTGTTTTGTGTTGTACATTTGTGTGTCCAGGAAAATTACTCCTCCAGCCCTGCATTCATAAGCTGGCTGGAAACTGGAATTCTGACAGACAGCTTGGAGAAAGTAAATCAAACTTGTTTGAATGCTTCAGACCTTCCTCAGTTGCAAAGACAGCTTGTTAGAACTCAACATGTTCATGGGCAGGATGAAAAAAAAATTCATCAAAAAGGGAGTTTTCCTGGATAAAACAGCAGCATTAGTTTCAATAAACTTTGGATGGTTAAGATATGAAAAAAATATGTCTTTGTTAGCAGTGAAAATATAAATCTTTCAACCTCTTTGGCCTCCAACTTCATCAATTGATATGCTGGCAAAGGGCTGGAGCACTACACTCCAGCAACACCATGGCCCACTGGGAAGGCTTCTTCATTGCAACCACATGGCAGAGGCATGTGTGCAATGCTGAAGCTTTTCTCCTGCTTCTGTGGACCTTCAACCAGGTTAAAACCAAGTGGCACAAGGAAGGCTGCAGCTCAGCTATGCAAACCTATGTGATATAGGCCCTGAGTGCAGGAGCCGAAAGACAAAAATAAATAGATGCAAGAAACTTAACTGGTTCAAAATCTTGCAGAAGAAAGCAGGGATATTCACACAATCTACCTTAAAAAGCAAACTTAGGAACCTGCACTTCACAGGGATCAGTGCTGCAAGGCAGGTACCTGTGCTAGGGGATAAGAGATGTCTCCAACTAAGGCTGTCAGCTGATCTTAAAAAAACAACACTACAACAACAAAACCAAACAGAAAATCAAAACCAAACAAAAAAACCCCCACCCAAACCAAAAACACCTTCACAAACCAAAACAGTCAACAACAAAACCCTCAACACTGTGGAACAGATTTTAAGTTCATTTTGATCTCGGCGTAACTCAGTAACAGAGCAGAACTGGTAATTATTTAAAGAAGAAACTCCTTTGTATTTCATGATTAGAAGAAAGTAGTGGCAGAAAAGCAGAAGTACAAATGGTTTGGGGTATTCCTGAGTCTAAAACAAACAAATAAAACAACTAGGGCTACTAATAGTTAAGTTTTCCTCCAATTTGTTGTACAAAAATAGAGTGCCCAACAATATTATTCTAACTTCTACTCAGATTTTTGCTAACATTTGAAATATCAAGTACCATACTGGAATGCTGGTTTCCACAGCATGAACTACATGGAAAAATAGCTTAGCCTTCTTGCCAACATAGTATGCACTACCTAACATGAGAGCCCAAAAACAACAAATAAAACTTACTACACTGCAGGGTACAGTGAACTCCCTTTTCTGTCAGTTTAAGCTGGAAAGCCAACATAACGATATTGCAAAAATTGCAAAATATTTAACACTGACCTGTAGGCTGGCTGTGAATTTTCTGTTTATTGCCTGAATTTACTGCCTGAAGTAAGCCTTTTTAAAGCAACTGAAGTTGTCAAAATCTGTATATGGAAGGCGCTTTCAAATAGTTAGGGTCTTAATATGTAAATATTAACCTTAACACAGATATTAAAACTGGTTCATGTAGGTTTTCCTGAAGTGTAAAACCTGAGGTTTTACCACTATTTAAGAGAAACAAGTCTTGGAAACAAGAACAAGTAGCTTCTTGCTTTCACGGGAAGCATCTATGGTAAAAAGAGGTTAAGAGGTTTTGTTCATTTCTTTGGCTACAGGAAAAACTGGGCAACTTTGAAATAAACAGTGTTTCCAATAATATGTTTTGTTGGTTGTTTATTTTACATGTAACTTGATATTTAATGTAAGTTTTCAAGAATGACTCTGTTTACTATATTCTCTGAATGTCAGAGTTGGGATGTGCTCCCACTGCTGAGATTGCAAAAGAAAAGGAAATATTGTATATAAAAGGCAGCAAAAGCCTAATCATTTGAATTTCCTGTTAGAAGGCAGAAACTAAACATTGGAAAGGATCTTTGTTTTGATACTTTTGGAGATGATATTACTCACTGCAAATAACAGAAAAATCTGTCAGTATCCAGGTACTGTTATTCAGGTCCCTATTATGAGAGTATCACTCAGACTTTTTCCAAGCACCTTTTGGGACTCTTTCCTGACCTCTTCTTCCTATTCAGACTTGTTAGACGAATGAAAGGCAAACTAACTAGTCAACATCACTGCAACTCAGAAAACTTCAAGACAGACAGAATTAAATACTTGGAGTCAGGAGCACTCTCTTCCTTTTCTGAGAGCAAAGTACTCGAGTAACTTTTGCTTTCCCTTAAACAAAGTGAATTTCCCCACTCTTCCATTTGAAACCACTATATGGATCTTACAATAGATAAGAAAACAATTTAAATTCCCAAACCTTTCAGTGGCCCCATGAGCAGACGTGGCTCGAGCTCGCTGAATTTCATCCTCCAAGCGTCTTTTTTCATCCTCCAAACGTGCAATGTCTTCTGGGGATCGCCTTTGCTGACTGATGAGCTGCAGCTCCTGAAGAAGAGCTTCCTTCTCTTTGATGAGCTGAAGACGGTCCCTGTCCGCTTCAGCCATTCCGGGCCAAGACTCATTATCTAGCAAGGCCAGCTGCTGCTGGATATTCGAAACTCTTTAAAAGAGGATAAATATATTTCAAAATGCAGAAGAGACAAAGACAAGTAAGAGGAAAAATATCAAAAGGTGAAGCCTGTTGACTCCTGTGTCTTTTTTTCTTCTAAATTTCAAAAGATAATTTGGGGGGGGGGGGTTGGAAGGTTTATTTGTTTCTGCATTTTGGGGTGGGCTTGGATTTTTTGAGTTTTGTTCTGGGATTTTGGTTGGTTGGGTTAGGTTTAGGGGTTTGGTTTTTTTAATGTTCTGTGTATTTTTAAAACACTGAACAACTGCAAGTGTTCCCAAGTGTGTAGCTGTGTAAGAACTACAATGCATTTATATATCACATGCACAGTATCTGTCTTCTTGGCTTTCTCATTTTTGTAATAAAACAATAAAGCAATTAATATCTTAGCAAACTCTGCCTGTACAGCTAATGAAGCTGAACATCTTTTCATTCCCTGTTCTTCCACCATCAGATCTTAAACTGGGATTTCAAAAGTGCAGTAAGAAGTTGAAGGGGCTGAAAGCAAGATGCTTAACTAGTGATAACAGGTCCACACATTCATGCCCTGCCTGGTAGAGGAAAGGTTCAAGGGGCTGAAAATATTAGTCTGTCCTAACTGACAAGAAAATTTTAAGAATAAATAAGCTGTCTGTAAAACAGAAACAGAGATCTGGAAAAAAGATTTACTGGCTACAAAGTACAGGTGACTTAAGATGAATCCATCATAAAATCAAGCAGTTAAACAAGCTAACTTGATTTTTCTGTAGTAGGCTTTGCAGTCAAAAGTAGTTTCCTATATCTCAATATGCTGAACCATTACATAAAACAACAGTGTAAGAATAATTCCACAGTTAACATTTTAAGAAAATGTTCTTTCAAAACCAGATTTTAACCTCTTATCCATATTATGAAGAATGCTAAATCTAGACATTTCACAAATGTTTCTTTTGGCAGAATTGAAAGGTACAGAGCATAAGAGGGAGAACACATATTGCTAGGTATTCATATTTGTCTTGCACTGACAATTTAGACACTTTAGAATGCTAGTTAAAATTTCAAGTAAATAGGAGAAAATCTAGCTTTCTGATTTTTGAACATTTGAAACTCAAGAACTGCACAACAGTTATGCAGTTTACACCTCAATTTCATCCTCAGTTTGAAATGGTAGCATTCAAACAAAGTTCAGCATGCTGTGAAAGACTATTGGCATATTTAAGCCAGTCATAAAAGTGGAATATTGTTCATTCTCTTTGGTTACTTTAAGTAATTCTTTTTCAAAAATATCTGGTAAGAAAGGAAAGTTACTAAGCAACAAATCAAGGTAAAAGCACACAACATGCAAACAGAAGATCCACACTGTGACAGCATGTGATTAACAACAAAAGAAAAGGTATAGACATGACAAAGGCAAAGTTTCCCCCATCTGAAAACAAAACCTCATGCAATGTTTATTTCATACTGACATCTGGTATGTATTATCAGGGGAAGGGGAAAAAAAGTATCAATGTAAGTCATTTTGCAATGACTGCATTCATATATGAATAGGAATTTTAGTGTGATTTCCCCCCACTTTAGATTTCATTTACAGCAAGGAAAGCAATTGAGTACTATGTTACATTTCAGTCTAAAGCAGAATGCTTTATCAAGCCCTTCAATACCATTTCCTCCTCCTTGCATTAATAACCAACTTCCTGCCAATAGCTACTGAAAGCACCATTGTGAATCAATACATACAGTCCACATATTTCATGCTTCAGCTATTGTGCATGAATTCCAGATGCAGCTTCCTGAAGAACACCTCACTCCATTGACCAAATGTCAGGGCCAGGAAGAGCGAGCAGAGTCAGGATCCCTCCTCCTCCCTCCCAGGCTTTAATGCTGTTAAAGATTCAGTAAACACTCCGGATGGCATATACAGCTTGATTTTCAGGTGTTCAGTGCCAAATGAAACAAATGGGAACTCAAGGTCCTTTCAACAATGTCACAGAATTCAGGTACAATTGAGTTATCATAGCTTGGCAAGAGAGTGTGAATCAGATGAGCCCTGACTATTTGAGTGACCATATTCATAGGTTTTTACACAACTTGTGGACAAAAGAAGATGAGATGTGTGCAGTGAAGTCCCTGGGTTGTTTTATAAGACAGCTGAAGGAGTGAAGGACTTCATTCTAGCACTCACAATTGTTTTTCTAGCTATTTTTACAAAGCAGGATCAGCTGGTTAAGAAGCGGACCACAGGAGCAAATGAAGGCTAATGAAGGCAACAAAGAAGAGAGAAGTAAAGTCAGGCAAGAGGAGAAGGTGGGATCTCCCCTTTCAGTGCTAGTGAACCAGTGAATCCACTCATCTGTAGAGTAAAACACCACCCTCACTAAATACAAGAGGTTTTAATTTAGGCTCTTGAGCTTGCTGAGAGCACGTAACTCCCTTTGTGTATGACATTCCAGCTTAAAGTTTGTTTTTTCCCCTCAATTTCTGTTATGGCAATGCTTTGAAAGCAGGAAGTTGTCATACAATAACTTAATTATACTGTTATTTAAGGGGGAAAAGCACTGCTGTGGACAAGGTTTGTATCACTGAAGAGTTCCAAAATCTGATTAGGTATTTACTTTGATTCCCTTGACACTCTTAGCATTTCAGCTAGCTCTTCTTGTTTCTACAGTTCTCTCTTTAAACAAAGAACAAGCAGTCACAAAACACTCCATAATACAGGAATCTGCTGCAGCACCAGTAAGTCAGTTTTCTGCAGTCTGTATTTCCTGAAAGTTTTCCTGAACTTCTGGGGGCAGTTTTCTTGCTTGCTTTCCACTGAAGACTCCCTCTGTATGGTAAAGATACTCCAAAAAGCTACCAGTGACAAACTTTTTTATCTCCTTAGCTAGAAAACATCCTTAAGGTTTTCATGGTCTTACTCACTTAAACAAAGAAAAATATCTGAGGAGTCACGTTC